GAAAGCCCGAAGTGATGCAGGTCTCAGACGTTTACCACTTTGGTGAAACCCACGAGCATGGGTATGGTGCTGACAAACCTAGAAACATAATCGGGGCGAACCAGGATTTGAACCCACAATCATAAGTTTCTGGCGCGCCGAAGGTACGCAACTCTGCACAGCGAATCGTGGCGCCTTAGACGACTGGGCCCCCCATGCCCCCCGATCTTTTGAAGAATGTTTTAGTACAGCTCCAAATACATATTGAGGCTGTTGAGTTTGATTTAGTTTCCTACTTGTACATCTTCAATTATATTGATATCACCGGAAGGATCACAGTCAACAAACAAGGCAGATGTGTGGCCAGCATGAATGAGCATGATCAAGAAGCAGTGTTTAAGTGTAGGGATGAATGAGGTCCAGGGTGGCAGTGGGGACATACGCGGGCCCCAGGGATGACTTCATGAGTGAAACCCAGGGTGGCAGTGGGGACATACGCGGGACCCAGGGATGACTTCGTGAGTGAAACCCAGGGTGGCAGTTGGGACATACGCGGGACCCAGGGATGACTTCGTGAGTGAAACCCAGGGTGGCAGTTGGGACATACACGGGACCCAGGGATGACTTCGTGAGTGAAACCCAGGGTGGCAGTGGGGACATACGGGACCCAGGGATGACTTCGTGAGTGAAACCAAGGGTGGAAGTGGGGACATACACGGGACCCAGGGATGACTTCGTGAGTGAAACCAAGGGTGGAAGTGGGGACATACGCGGGACCCAGGGATGACTTCGTGAGTGAAACCCAGGGTGGCAGTGGGGACATACGCGGGACCCAGGGATGACTTCGTGAGTGAAACCAAGGGTGGAAGTGGGGACATACACGGGACCCAGGGATGACTTCGTGAGTGAAACCCAGGGTGAAAGTGGGGACATACGGGACCCAGGGATGACTTCGTGAGTGAAACCCAGGGTGGCAGTGGGGACATACGCGGGACCCAGGGATGACTTCGTGAGTGAAACCCAGGGTGGCAGTGGGGACATCACCACATAGCTTTAGATTAAAAACTATAAGAGCTATCAAGCAATCACATGTGAGAGCATAATCTTCATCACACAATTCATAAAGAAAATAAGAAACAGTGCCACAGTGCTATAGCTACCCTGATATGTTGTCAACAAATTAAAAGAGAAAGACTGCACACCACTGAACAGAAGTTGCTGTCGGCATTGATATTCTAATTTATCATATATAGTGGGTACGTTTCTCAGCTGGGTAAAGCCTACAGATAAAAAGGGTATCTGTTGGCGTCATATACGGATAAAGATGCAAATACGAAAGATCAGGTAGGTACTACTTTCTGAGTTTACAAGCAAAGATGGCATCACCACTTGTCAATCGGCTATTGAGTCAGAATTAATCATTGAGAATCTGGACAATAGTCTTAGATACTGAAAATAAGTGTCTAAATTGTTGTAGCATTTTACAAGTCTTGGCAACTTTGGAGATAAATTCCTCAACAATTTAGCGAGGACACCAGCCTAGCAGGATCAGTTTCCATATCTTTAAGACCTCTGTGGCTTGGGACCTTTTTCCCAAATACAGTTGGATTGGGCCAAAGTATGTCCAAATTGTTACCTTGTTTCATTTTGTTGCTGTGTGTACATCTCATTGCACTTCATAACGTTATGACAGGACAGGCTGACTCTATACAACCTGACATCTCAAAGACTAGGCTTAGAGTAGCTTCCCTTTGAAAAAAGGCAGTTATTCTAGCGGGCAAACCAATGGTTTTGCGTGAAAGGCAAGTAGAAACAATATGTGTATAACTGTTATTTTGACTTTTTGTCTCTTCTGAGAAACAGGTTTCAGTTGGGACTATATCGACTGTGTTACTGTCCAACCATTCTGATGTCATATATATTGATGCACATGCACATTCCAGGAAAACATGCTTTGTTCAGGTAATTTTTGTGAGAGATGAGAAAAGGTTTTTCGACGACAAAATTTATGCAAATGTTAGATGATATGGAGGTTATCATGCTTGCATTTTGGGATGGTAAATATTGTTTAACATACATGCCAAAGTTCACCCCCCTCAGTTCTGCAATTTCAGAGAAGTTTACAGAGGCAAATATTCATTTGAGGTCATTTAAGAGCCTGGACAAAACAAAGCCAATTGTGTGGTGTCTGAGTAGCACGCCATTATACTTTTTCAAATTTTGAATATTTAACAAATGTTAAAAAAAAGGATCATTATCATTTTACTGCCATAAACAAATGTGTCCATTGTCTTGAACACAAAGTCATAGTTTCAGACAAAATCACTATGTCACAAGCTGACTTGGGCTTTGGGAGTTAGAATTAAGTTCACATCAACCGCTAGCTAACATAAATAGATCACACATGAATACTAAACGGGGTATCCAACAAGACAAACACTGCCCTTGAACGTAAACCTCTTCCTGGTAATAACCCTTTATTTCCCTTACATAAACCCATACCATAAAGATGTTTGTTCGCAAACAACTCTTTCATTGAACTGTTAAATCAAAGTCAAAATCTTTGAATCATTTAATATATGACACGAAAGAGGGCTTTCAGCTGCTAACTTCAATTTGCTCCCAGAAGAGCCTAGCAACACCATACATGCAATGTCATGTTTTGACCAGGGGCAGTAACCCTTGATCCTATGTTTGCCCATTGATTCGCCTCCAATATCCCAGATTATCTGCCCCTATCATAACACCGACTTTGATGGAGTATGAATGGCGACACAAACACAAACTAATCAAACTCTCGTAAACTGGAGAGAGCGGCCGTAACACTCGCGTCTCTTTCAGGTTTGCCCTGTGGATTTGGGCGACTTCAATTCTGTGGTCCCACATCTCAGATGCAAAACTCTAATTTTGTATGATTATTTATTTAGTAAGAAATTCCTAATCCCCTGTGAACATGCTAAAGCACTCAAGATCAAAGAATGGCAGTCGGGCTGGAGTTATAGTTGAGCTTTGTGTTGTGGGGATTAGTCCATTGATTTGCCACACAAACAAGAGTTTGCCCCCGATGAAATTTAATATCGTGTGTGACGAATTGAAAGGGCAAGAAGCCTGGATGGAGGCCTCTCACAATGACGACTGCTCCTTCTGCTATGACTTGGACATCATTGAAAATTTCCGAATTTGGTCATCCACATATGGGATAGGTCACATGATGTCATTCGCCAACATGGCTGGTAGCCATGTAATCCGTGAAATAAAAGTCATGTCACATTTAGGTCTATTGAAGCGTAATGGAATGGACGGATTCTGCCAGTCACCATTCCGAATGTAAATTTGACTCCGAAATATTTCAACTTAGAATGGGTGTCACACAAATGGAATTGATTGTTAACTGCCTGTCAATACTTTCATTCAGTGTGTCGGGGTTGGGAGGGTTTTATTGGAAATATTGTCAGACTATGACATTTGGTGTTGTAAATACAAAAACATGGTCGCTGAATTAAATTAGTTTTCATCAGAATTGAAAATATCTTGCTTTTCTTTCCTCTTAAAAGACCGATTTTAAGTGTGATGGAAGCAAACTCAATTTCTAGATGTCAGTTCTGCCAACAATTTTCTAGTTTTTGCTTCTTCTAAAACAACATCTTTTTCTCAAAGACATTAGTCACATGACATAACTGGGACAAAAAGGTATCAACTGCATTCTAAGTATAACTATCAAATGTTGATTTGCATTCAAATCTCCAAACAGGAAAAGCAGTTGTCATAAAATATTGTTCCAACAAAATGAGGACTTGTTCTTATAACATAAAATGAGAAATTTCAATTTCAAACGTAATTTACAAATGCAATTTTAGATCCATGACCATCAGTAATTTAATTACTCGTAGGCAACTCACAGAATAGGAAGATAATATATATATATACTTCAGTGTGTAACAGAGTTTTCTGAAGTTGAGAAAAGAGATATTTTCATTGCAGTGAACATGACACTTGATATTTAACTGCAGTAATCATAACACTCATAACAGAACTATTGTATTACAAGAGTTATCTCCCTGCAAATTGTCTCCCCTTTATTGTAGTGTCTAGCCTGTACACAAACAGTTGACTTCCTTTTTACGTTAGTTCCACATTGATAAGGCAAAATAATGACAGGTTTATATTCGCTTCTTCCCATTTGTAAAACTTGTGAAGATGTTTTCTCAACTGTAAATGTTTTGTTTAACTAGTCAATCGAGACTGTTCGTTTCACAACGCTCCATTTTTGTTACTTGACATGTGTGTATTCTTTCACTTTCATTTGTAGATTTCAAGAATATTTTTTGTTGAAGTTGATTTTGCATATAACCATATGCAAATATATGATAAAGAATTGTATTCACCTCACATATTTTTTATACTTTTCTTTACATTTTTTAAGATTTTGCATAGAACTACTTTTTAAGTCGCAATTTAATTCATGGGGGTGGTGACACATCCCTGCTGGTTAGGAGGGGAGAATTTATGTTTCAAGGTTTTACATTTGTAATGAAATGATTTAATTTTCCAGGACACAACTACACAAAAAGTCTATAATAAATAAATAACTCGACACATGGAATATTCTCTATGGTTTCCTGCAAATATAGTCTTCCCATTTTCAACATGATTCATAAAAGCACAAAATGCTAAGATGCTGAAATTAAAGATATTGATCTCAATGAACTTTTGCATCAACCATGATGTTATGCTCAAATGTTAAACTGAGCTTGAAATACACTTTCAGACAGGATATTTATAAATTACCGGAACTTGAAAATATCAAATAAGTATGTTGATATGTGACCATAGGTATCTCTTGAAGTAGTTCCAGAAGAGTTTTTACAAAACAACAAATTGTTTTCATTCCAAACAAAATTTCAAATGACATTTCTCAAAGTGCTACAAAGCACTGTCTGTCAACACCACCTCATCCTTCTTCACCGGAGACATAACATTGCCATAACTCTCTTGTGACAAAGTTAAATTAGATCTCTTTGTCATCCAAGGTCGAAGGCAAAGCCAAAAGAACACAGCTTTCCTAAAAATAACACAACTCAGTGGAGACTGTGGTGACACGACAGGTCATTATCTGTCTCCAAATGATATTTGGAGTTATTCCTTACAAAACACATCATTTTTCAATTCACCTACATGGGCCCAGCAACCTGTTTTTCAACAGTGTACACAAAAGGAACATCTATGAAAGTAGTTCCATTCAATCAAATTGGCCAAAATGCCTAATTAGCTTGCAGGAATATGTACAATGAGACCTCACAAAACATATGCAGAAATATATATTCAAGAATTTAAGTAAAAATTAAAGACGTAAGAACACAATTCAATTGGTGAGGTGAAACGGGGTTTAATGTTGCATCCAAGATTGTTGCACTTATATATTGACGTGCATGCATGCATGCATGTGTGTGTGTGGCTGTTGTTCTAGTTTGGGCTGTTGCTGATTTTATAGTGCTAGCACACTGAGATACCATGCCACAGTTCAACATGACTACCACACTCAGACACAGTATGCTGACTCCAAACTGACAAGTCATTGTAATATTCCTTAATGCTGTGTGCCAGACAGGGTAACAACAATTTCCATCTTTTAACATCTTTTGTTAGGAGGTGGCTGGGGATCGAACCGCGACCAGGGCAGACACAACCACTAGACCACGGTTGCAGTCTACAATTTAATTGATTCACCAAAATTTTCTTCTTGAAAATTAAATGAGTGAGTGTCTATTGCAGGAATATTCCAGCCATATCACACATGACACATTGGCTTCACACATTGTGCCCATGAGGAGAATTGAACCAAAGTCTGATATGAAAGAAAAAAGGCTACCCCAACTGACCTAAGGTACGACATCATTATATATAATTTCTAGGTGCAGGTAACAGTTCTACATACACAATGCATCAGCAATGATTTTGACTTTGAAAAGCAAGAATGAAAGCACAAGCTTCTGGCAACATTCAACATTCATTCATGTGGCGACCCGTGAAGATCCGGGGTAGAATAGATCTTCAGCAACCCATGCTCGCTGATTTGGTTCATGCATGTCATTGATCCCACATTGCTAGCATTCATGCTCATGATGTCAATCACTGGATTGTCTGGTCCAGGCTCGATTATTTACAGACCGCCATCATACAGCCTGAATATTGCTGAGTGCGGCATTAAACAACAAACCAATCAACCAATCATGATGTAGCTGTGCACGTATGTATACTCTACCCAAAAAGAAATGCATACCTGGTAAGTAGTTTTCCAGAGATTTATTCTGTGCCTTCAACAAGGTTTAAAAAACAATATTTGGGACATGTTAGTTGGGAAGATTACAAAGTGGTTATGGAGTTCATCAAACGTCAATGGAGAAGTGTCTTTGCATGTGATGGTTACATCACCATATCAAGCACGAGTCGTAAATCCACATATCCTGTATCTACCATTGACCTGAATGACTACACAACACCTACAGCTGCAAATGTAAATCAAGGTTACGGATGACACCTTATGGAATGGCAGCCCATTCCTCCTGAATAGCTTGGCGTGGGTTGTCATGTTGTAATTGCAGCAGACTATGTGGCCCTGGTTGACACTGACAAACATTTGTCTAGTTCATCACCCAGATGCTAAATTGGGTTAAGATCCGGTCATCCTGACGGCCATGAGAGTATGTTCATGTTCTGCAATATGGAGGCTTGTTTGTTTTTGTTTTTATGTTGTTTAACAGAACTATTCCATCTATATGACGGCAGTCTGTAAATAATCAAGACTGGACCATACAATCAGTGACTGACATCACGAGCATTGATCTACACAATTGGGATACGATGACATGCCTTAACCAAGTCAGCGAGCCTGACCCTGCTGGCTGGTGCTTGCATTGCCTAGACAATGTAAGGTCATAGGGTCTTGTCATGATAACATACACCTGCAAGTTGCCTTGGATATCATGAACACAATCTGTTCTTCGCCCACAACACATGTCTCCCAACTTCTGTTCTTCGCCCACAACAGATGTCCCCCAACTTCTGTTCTTCGTCCACAACAGATGTCTCCCCTTTTATGTTGTTAAACAACAACAGATGTCTCCCCACTTCTGTTCTTCGCCCACAACAGATGTCCCCCCACTTCTTTTCTTCACCCACAACAGATGTCCCCCCACTTCTGTTCTTCGCCCACAACAGATGTCCCCCTACTTCTGTTCTTCGCCCACAATAGATGTCCCCCCACTTCTGTTCTCCACCCACAACAGATGTCCCCCCACTTCTGTTCCTCACCCACAACAGATGTCCCCCCACTTCTGTTCTTCACCCACAACAGATGTCCCCCCACTTCTGTTCTTCACCCACAACAGATGTCCCCCCACTTCTGTTCTTCACCCACAACAGATGTCCCCTAACGGTGAAACGATACACCGATATTCCAATGCATCGAAATACTTGACCCACGATACGATATACAATTAATGTGGGCCCATTTATCGATACGCCACGATAGGGAACGCAAATCTCAAGTACAGCGTTTCCTCAGTATTGAGCCTTTCAATAAACCGCTAACATGGTTATAGCCCGCGGTAACACATGGCTCCCAAAAATGTACTTACATTTTTAATAAGCACAGGTTTTACACCGACAGATGTTTTTCCCCATCTCAATAAACATTATCAGCTGATCACCGCAAACACATAGCACCGGAAATACCAGTCAGCAAATCCGAACTGAAGTACGCAATTCAATACCATTATTATACTATCTTGTTATTAAAACATGTTCATTGTATATCTGGACTTGTGTTTGTAATATATTTTATTAATTTTATTAATTTTATTAAAATTTCATTTAATATTGTTTTCATTAAGTTAGGTGAAATCATGTGTGAAGAGATACAGCAACCAGTCAGATTACCGCTTTTGACGCATTGAAACGAACTTTAGTTGCTAGAGAATGGATACATATAATATTAAAAAATTGATACTCGTTAAAAGTCATATTTGTGGCAATTTGGCTAATATATGTCAACATAACGTTTTCACAATCGAAATACATGTAGCGCGGGAAGTCACTTCGGTGATTGATCAAATTGTTCCATACATAAAAATATCCTGCAGCAGCAATCACCAGTACCAGAATGCTACACTTGTGGTTCTTATAATTTTAAATATATATATAGTAAAAGCTGCAACTAAGGTAACACGATATTGGAATATATTATTCCTGATTAAACAATAATTTCAGATATACTTTCTTCAACCATTGCATCAAAATTCTTTGAAGTTGTATCACTGGTGGAGTACATTAATTATTTTCTGGTGTTTGAACTTTGAATTGTTTTGAAAGAAAGTTAGAGAAAGTTCCACTTTGAAGCTGAACAACTTCAGTGGTCTTGTTATTATAAAATAATTTTGACTGTTCCAAAATCATGAAAGGTTCAATCTTGACATGCTTTAAGTCTTGCTTTTTTATCTTTGCGTATCGAGATACGTATCGCATCGTGACCAGAATACCGAGATGCGTATCGTATCGTGACCATCCTGTATCGTTGCAGCCCTAATGTCCCCCCACTTCTGTTCTTCGCCCACCACAGATGTCTCCCCATTTCTGTTCTTCGCCCACAACAGATGTCTCCCCAACTTCTGTTCTTCATCCACAACAAATGTCTCCCCATTTCTTCGTAACAGATGTTTCCCCACTTGTTCTTGCCAACAACAGATGTCCCCCCACTTCTGTTCTTCACCCACAACAGATGTCTCCTCATTTCTTTCCTCTTTACAACAGATGTCTCCCCACTTCTGTTCTTCACCCACAACAGATGTCTCCCCGATTCTTCGTAACAACAGATGTCTCCCCACTTGTTCTTGCCCACAACAAATGTCTCCCCACTTCTGTTCTTCGCCCACAACAGATGTCTCCCCACTTGTTCTTGCCCACAACAAATGTCTCCCCACTTCTGTTTTTCGCCCACAACAGATGTCTCCCCACTTCTGTTCTTCGCCCACAACACATGTCTCCCCACTTCTGTTCTTCGCCCACAACACATGTCTCCCCACTTCTGTTCTTCGCCCACAACACATGTCTCCCCACTTCTGTTCTTCACCCACAACAGATGTCCCCCCACTTCTGTTCTTCGCCTACAACAGATGTCTCCCCACTTCTGTTTTTCGCCCACAACAGATGTCCCCCCACTTCTGTTCTTCGCCCACAACAGATGTCTCCCCACTTCTGTTCTTCGCCCACAACAGATGTCTCCCCACTTCTGTTCTTCGTCCACAACACATGTCTCCCCACTTCTGTTCTTCGCCCACAACAGATGTCTCCCCACTTCTGTTCTTCGCCCACAACACATGTCTCCCCACTTCTGTTCTTCGCCCACAACACATGTCTCCCCACTTCTGTTCTTCGCCCACAACACATGTCTCCCCACTTCTGTTCTTCACCCACAACAGATGTCTCCCCACTTCTGTTTTTCGCCCACAACAAATGTCCCCTCACTTCTGTTCTTCGCCCACAACACATGTCTCCCCACTTCTGTTCTTCGCCCACAACACATGTCTCCCCACTTCTGTTCTTCACCCACAACAGATGTCTCCCCACTTCTGTTTTTCGCCCACAACAAATGTCTCCCCACTTCAGTTTTTCGCCCACAACACATGTCTCCCCACTTGTTCTTGCCAACAATGGATCTCTCCACTTCCTCCACCAAACCAGTATGCCCATTCTGTCAGATTCGCTGAATGGCGGGAAGCCATGGATGATGTGGTATATATTCTTGTGTGCACTCGAGTTTAACACAAACATCCCATTCTTTGGTACAAATTTTGGGTAAAATTGCTTTTCAGTATATAGTACACAGTCAAAAACTACATCGTATCGCTTCAGGTGCAATTCATCAACAACTGAGCTGAAACGAATCAGTATATCCTCATCCTTTACCAAGCCATGTACATACGAGTAGAGATAGAGATCTCAGCAAAATCTTCGCTTACAGTATATCGCTGTGTATAAGGCAAGTTTTACGTACCTAGAATTAAGGGTCTTTCAAGGGGAGTAGTATTATACACAGGGTTGAAGAGTTTTGATGTTTTTCCCCCCCAACACGCTCTATCGTGAGCGTGGGAGTATTGAAGGTGATTGGTCAAACTGTTCTATACGAAAATCCAGCAATAGTGATCAGCTGTACCAAAGTGCTACGCTTATGGTTTTTATTTTATTTAAAATACATACAGTTAAGTTGCAACTAAAATAACATCATATTGAAAAAAATTATTCCTGATAAAAAAATAGCTTCAGATACAATTCTTCTGATCAATGTATCAAAATTTTTCAAAGTTATATTAGTGGGTAATTTGTAACCGAATCACCGGCACATTCCGAGAAACATGTGTACAGCTGATTACTACATCTGGCTTAGTTTACGAGAAAATACACATGATAATCTTAATCTCTGCATATAAGACAATGCCTATCAGAACAGGAAATACAATAAAATCAGTAAACCATCATGTCTAGTGAGGTTTTATCTCAAGTTTAAAATTTGTATTGACCAAGTTTAATTGTTATCTGTTCGTTCCCCTGATTTCGCTGAAGGGATACGATGTAATTTTGTTCTGTGGAAGACAAACACGTATTTGTTGCAAATGTAGGGATTGTGTATGCGATGGTGACATTCCGATTCGCTTTATAGATGGGGTATATAAATTAGCACCGATTTTGAAGGGTTGTACAGAGGGGTCACCTTATACGACTTTATAGACGGTGATATTCGCCTTTATATATGGCGACATACGGTAAGTCCCTTTCTTCAATCTCTCAACTGCAGCAGGCTTTGTCTGTCATGAACTGGGGTCTCTGTTGTTGAACACAAACCAAGGATCATAATCAGGGTGATACTGGGATTCAATGCCACAGTCATAGGATCCTGGAACTGCAAAGGGATGCAACTCAGCACACTTATCCATCAATAATCCAGAAATGTATGCAGTGGAAAAAGAGACTGAACAAGACATTTAAGAAGGTGACAAATGGTTTGAAATATGACATTCATCCACAGTTATATCCAAGAGAGGAGGGGTTGGGGGTTGGGAAGGGGTCGGGGAACTCATGATATAACAAGGCTTCGTATTATACCATTTGGCCAACCCTAAAAACATTACTTCTAACTCTGTCATCATTATCCTTTAAAAGGGCTCCTCCACCCCATCTTCCTGAGGCAAGGGCATTAACTGACTTTAAAAGTCCAGTTTCCACCCTTGCCGAACTAGGCTGGAATTCCTGGGCCAGATTGTAGCGCCACCAGTGGCTATTATGAATTATGTCCCTTCTAAGCCTCTCCTATGGACCAATCAGATTCCATCTCTTGTATCACTAGCATATGCTTCAAACAAAACGGCGGCGCCAAGTCAAGACGATGTAATCAAGATAAAACGGGTCTTACATCTTAAAGTGCATCAAATCACGAGAGCACCTTGATTAAAAACATGAAAATATTTGGAAAAAATATGTTGACAATGAGTTGGCGTTGCACATGCTTTGCAAATCCTGCCATTTTACGAACCGGGTTTCAATTTCATTGCGTGATTTTGATTGGACTATGCATAGACTCGTTAGTCCAGCCAAAATATAACTCTATAATACCAGCCTAGTTTGGCAAGGGTGGAAACTGGACTTTTATAGTCAATTAACTCTCTTGCCTCGGGAAGATGCCTACACCCAATCTGCATTAACCTGTATTAATGTCATAAATAGTTACAGGATTTTGATAATCCAAACATTTTGGAAATTGTTTCATCAGATACGGTATTAAAGATAGCGTCATGCCAAAAACCACTCTGTTAATTCCACCAAATAGATTTTCAATCTTTGGATGACAGTCCAAGTGAAATCCACCACATCCATTTCTCAAATTGTTCTGACTGGGTTGGACTGATTAGTACAAACAATTTTTGTTAATTCAAGGTGTTTTCATATCAAGCTAACTGCACCTTGTCTGATTTCAATAATGAATGATAATCCATCCAATCACTGAATACATCCAGATCCTCCTTGAATCAATACACTCGCCCTGATTTGGATGTACCCACAGAAAGGTCAGACATGAAACAGGTCTATCAATCAGCCTGACAACTGACATGTTTACAATCAAATATTTATATCATTCACTTTGCTTCACTCTGATAATACTTATATAGGTAAATGAAGGAATTAAGTCCAGACAGATGAAAACACCAAGTGATGAATGTTACTCAGAATGATAATAGCTTATCTAAATTCTCCGCCACTCTTCTTTGTTCGGTGAGAACAGTTTTTGAAAACGGACCTCCACGAAATCAGTTCTTCCATCTACTCCTTCAGTGTTTAGTGCAGTGTTAGCAGTTCCCATTTCTGTTGTTGAAAAGTGTTAATGAAAGGTAAATGTGGAACCATTTGGAAGGCAGATAGTTACGAAAAACAACTTGGAAATCAACCAGTTGATCTTCAAGATTGCTTGTACCTCAGAACACTCATGAACATTCCAATTGCTGTTGGATCATATACTGATCTTTCATGTGATTATGGGTTAGACTTGGTGCTCAGCATCCTATGCCAGTTGCAAGAGATGACTAATTGGACTGGGATTGTTTATTTGTTGTTTACACCGCACTCAGCAATATTCCAGCTATTTGACAGCGGTCTGTAAATAATCGTGTCTTGACCCGACAATCCAGTGATTGACATCATGAACATCGATTTTCCCGATCTACGCAACACAATGAGATGCATCAACCAAATCAGCGAGCCTGCCCACCTGTATGTGTTGAGAAGACGATTGTGCCAATGCGTGAGAACAGAGATCGCTTTCATCTCTGCAGTTGATATGGAGATACTTCATAAGTCCTGTATCTGGAGATGGTGGGCTCACCAACCTGAGTCCAAGGCCTCCGTGAAGAGATGGCGGTCAGGAGGAGGTAGGGTGAGAGGATGTGATAGCATTAAGTCCTCCAGGGTGGAACGTGACAGAGGTCAATAGGCATGAGTACCCGGAAGTCCAGAGCCAGCGGTCACAGGGACTTGATCCCGTTCTGCAGAGAGCGTTACTGTAGCTGTCACGGTTCCCAAGAGAGACATCCACCAATACGCCTTCGTTTTAAACCTATTCAATGCTTTTAATTCAAATAGACAGGAAGGCCTGAAATTGTCAGCTGCTTATTAAATGCTGTCAGTTTTATTATATTTTTAAAAAAGGTTCTGATGAAAACATTACGAAAAAAAATAGCATTGTGGGCTGACAAAAGCAAATTATCAAACACACAAAGAGAAATGAAATAAATCTAAATTTATTGAACAAAGTGGTTTGACCTAAAGATTAAAAACATTATTTAGTCATCCTATTCAGCAGTCAAATTTCTCGCCAAGACAACCCATGCTACGATTCCAATTACGAGATCACAATGATGACTGTTGGAGGTATCTCTAGGTGCTATGACAGCAAACGCCAATCCTCCCATTCAAGCTTGACAGCACAGTCCATCGGGTGATGTTATTGTGGCAATCACGTGAGTCTGGATAATACCCTGCTGGACAATGATGCCATCAATATTAAATTAGTGGGCTTTTGATTCTCGTTATGTTATACATACAGGCTTTGCGCAGTAAACGTGGCAACACTCCCAACATTAAATGGACAGATCGACTTACCACACAAATGAAAATAAATTCCCTGGGGATTTTCATGTCTGACTCGTAGAGTTCTAGTCTAGTCATGCTGAGCTTGTGGTTCAACATTCAACATGCACTTGGACAAATTGAGAAAAGAAATTCTACTATAATACTTCAGGATGAACACATATCGAAAACTGAACGAGCTCCCGTGTAATACCAAGTTTATGAAACTCACTCACTTTAACATTGACATACGACTGTCGTTGTACGATGATTGCCTTGAGGAAAAGGGTCCTGCACCACAAAGTTCACAATCACGTCACAACACCCAATGACATAATTTGTGAAATTTTGTTGCAAGACAAACCGGCAAAACAATGCCATGTGATGTCATGAAATGTGCAGAAGCTCCTCCCAGTGATCCATCATCTCTTCACGCAATGTCATTGAATTAGCAAAGGGATGTTGAGAAGTTTCAATATATGTAAATGAAACTTGTTCTCGCAGTACAAAAGCACATGGTTTGGTGTTAAACACTGTGGAATACCAGCTTATGATTATTAAACAGATGATCTCTTCAGGTTAGTCATAAAGTCAGCTTCATGGAAGTGATAGACTTTGTACATATGTACTCAGTATTTGAATACATGACACTTTTTTATGGATAACCGAATCTTTGTGACGACATTTCAGTGCTACTTCTTGCCC